AGAACTGAACAGGACTGGACCGGATAGGGCAAAACTGGACCAGACCGGACAGAACTGAAAAGAACTGGACTGGACAGGATAGGACAGGACAGAATAGTATAGAACAAGACAGGACAGAACTGGACAGAACAGAACTGGACAGAACTGAACAGAATAGGACAGAACAAGACAGGACAGAACAGAACAGGACTGGATAGGACAGGGCAGGACAGAACACTTTATTTGGCCAAGTGTGGTTAAAACCTCCAAGGAATTTGTCTCGTGTCTAGAATTTGTCTACAAATACCCAGAATACAAAATTGAAAGCAGAAGAATGCCGAAGGCGTTGAACTAAAGACACAGCAACAAATCAAGGTCGCTGAAATATTGTCCATTTTGTTAAGCGAATACACGGTTGTTAAGCGAATGCCGTTCGGAGAGCCAACGCTCTGCTCTTAAGGCCAAAAATCAAGAGGTACATGCTGAAAACTTCTCCAAATGAAGAGATCTGGGGGAAAAAAAAACCCCAGTTCCATACATTATGAGGAAAGCTGCCTGCATTTCTCCCGAAACCCCCAGGATTGCTCTCTTATAGCGAGGCCTCGACTTACAATGCTTCATTGAGTGACCCTTTTCGAAGTTACAACGGCAGTGAAAGAAATTGAGACTCACGACCAAAAAATTTTTTTCGCGCTTATGATCTTGGCCACTTCCTTGTGGTTCCCCCCGTTAATCAAAATACGGATGTTTGGCAAGAGAGTAAGGACGCATTTGGGAAGGAGGAACTGGGGTCCTATGGCTCACAGCCCCCCCCTCTCTTTTCTTGGGGAGAGGGGGAGAGAGGAGACATCCCAGGAAGAGAGAAAGCAAAAAATTGTGGGTGCAGGTGGCTACCTCAAGGAACAGTTTGCATGCAACCATCAGGGGACACGTTTGCACTGTGATAAAAAAGAAGAAAAAAAAACAGAGTTTGCTAAACATCATTCTTAATTTTGTTTTGTTTTAGTAAAACTGAGGCTTATAGCCATGATGACGAACCTATGGCACACGTGCCACAGGTGGCACGCAGAGCCATTTGTGACAGCATGCGAGACGCAGGCAAACTTACCTCACGACACATGCGCACCCTCACAGCTGATTTTCGGTCTCCCAGAGACTTGAGGAAAGCCTTTGCAGGCCAAAAAAATAGGCCCATTTCGTCAACTTCCTGTATTTCCGGAAATACTGGAAGTGACAAAACAGGCCCATTTTTCGACCCGCAAAGCCTGCAGAAGCTTCCCTCAAGCCTCTGGTAAGCCAAAAAAGGCCTCAAACGGGCCGAAAGTCAGCTGGGAGGCACAGGGCAGGTAAAGGGGGGATTGCACGCACATGCGCAGGGGATGTGGGGGTCATATTGCCTTCTGGGTGCTGGCATTGGAGCATGCGCGCTCAAGCGTGCGCACAATTTTTGGCACAGGAGCCCCAAAAGGTTAGCTACCACTGGCTTATAATATCTTGTCCAGGCTGGCTAGGGGATTCTGGGAGTTGAAGTCCACCCACCTTCAACTGAATAAAAGAGACCTATGTCCAGTTTTCACACTTACGACCGATATCCCTACAATCAACCTGATCAAAATTTGGGTACTTGTTGACCAACTTGTAGTTATGACAGTTGCACCGTCTTGGGAGTCACATAATGACTCTTTCTGACCTTCTCGGAGGACGTGTCCAACCCCTGAGGTGTCTTCTTGATCCAGAGCTCCTGCCCAATCAATCAGGGGGTTGGACTATAAGACCTTCAAGGTCCCTTCCAACTCTATTCTTCTCGCGCACCTTCAAAATGCTGGGTTTTTTTTTTAAAGTTTTAACTCCCTGGTACAATATCAGCAGCTTGTCTGCCTCTTCTCTGGTTTCCTTGGCAATGACATTTGGTCTCTAGTGAAAGCTGAGAATGATGGAAGCAGAGGGGGTGTGCCTTATGGGCTTCTGTGGCCACATGTTCAAGATCTGCCTTGGTGTAACTAGAATGTTGTGTTCTTTTGCCGGAGGGATGGAGGGAGGACAGTGGCTCTGGGGGAGAGAGAGAGAGAAATCACCCTGGGGCTGAAGGAAAATTAGAAGAACAGAATTGGAAGAGACCTTAGAGGTCCGATAACAATAATCAGAGTTGGAAGGGGGACCTGGTAGGTCATCTAGTCCAACCCTCTGCTCGAACAAGAAACCCCTATGTACCATTTTCAGACAAATGCCTGTCCAGTCTCTTTTTAAAGGGCTCCAGGGACGGAACGCCCACAACTTCGATACAATTAAAGCCTGGTTCACATCCAACGACAGCCTTGTAGGGTAGGCTGGATGGACAACAAATTGGTGTCTGCCCAATCCTGTCCCAATATCTGAACAGCTACCATCTTTAATTTCATTTTTTTTTTTTTAGAATTATATCGCAGCTTCCTTCGGGACCTCAGCATAAACAGCACTGCCTCCCCTTCTCCTCCTCCTCCTCCTCCTCCTCTTTCCCCACTTCACAACAACCCTGTGAGGAAGGCCGAGAGAAGATGATTGAAATCTATTCTCCAAAGCCCTTGAAGGCAGGACAAGAAGCAATGGATGGAAACTAATAGATAACAGATCATCAGATTTGGAAGGGGCCTTAGAGGTCATCTAGTCCAACCCCCTGCCCAAATGGGAGACCCTACACCATTTTTGACAGATGGCAGTCCAATCTCTTCTTGAAAGTCTCCAGTGATGATGAAGCTCCCACAACTTCTGAAGGCAACTTCTGTTCCATGGGTTGATGATTCTCCCTGTCAGAAAATTCCTCCTTATTTCCAGGTTGAATCTCTCCTTGGTCAGTTTCCATCCATTATTATTCCTTGTCTGGCCTTCGGGTGCTTTGGAGAAGAGCTTGACCCCTTCCTCCTCTCTGTGGCAGCCCCTCAAATATTGGAAGATGCTCTCCTGTCTCCCCTGGTCCTTCTCTTCCCTAGACTAGCCAGGCCCGGTTCCTGCAACCGTCCATCGTAGGTTTTAGCCTCCAGTCCCCTCATCATCCTGGTTGCTCTTCTCTGCACTTTTTCCATACTCTCAACATCTTTTTTATAGTGTGGTGACCAAAACTGGATGCAGTACTCTAGGTGTGGCCTTACTAAGGCTTTATAGAGTGATATTAGTACCTCTCTTAATCTGGATTGTATCCCTCTGTTAATGCAATTTAGGATTGCATTAGCTTTTTTGGCGGCAGCTGCAACGAATCAAGGAGAGAAGCAACTTAGAATGAAGAAGAAATTTCCTGACAGTGAGAGCAATTAACCAGTGGAACTACTTGCCACCAGAAGTTGTGGCTGCTCCAACACTGGAGGTTTTCCAGAAGAGATTGGACAAGCATTTGTTTGAAATGGTGTATAGGGTCTCCTGCTTGAGTAGAGGGCTGGACTAGAAGACCTCCAAGGCCCCCTTCAACCCTTGTTATTCTCTAACAGATAATCCTCAATTTATGACCACAATTGATCCCAAATTTTATGTCGCTAAGCGAGAAAGTTGATAACCGAGGGTCACCCCATTTTACGACTTTCCTCGCCACGTTTGCTACGCGAATCGCTGCCGTTGTGAAACTCACAGCACAGGGGGGGGGGGTTAAATGGTTTCCCCATGGATTTGGCTCGTCGAGAAGGTCGTAAAACGGGATCGTTGGACTCCTGGACGCTGCCACCGTCATAAGTGTGGGTCGAGCGTCCGAATGCAAATCACGTGATCCTGGGGAGGCAGCAAAGGTTGTTAAGTGTGAAAACATGATGGCAAGCCCCTTTTTCGCCCCCCCTAGGGATGTTGTAA